GTGAGTGAATTGTGAGCAAGTCTCAGGCGGGAGCCCCCTCCCTATGGGGCCCGCACTTCATGTTCGAATCCGAGCGGGTCATCCGCAACGTGCAACTGTCGTCACTTTTGGGCTCTTGAGACCTGAATATGGAGGAAGTATCAGGCGGGAGCCTCGTCTGTGATTGAATTGTGAGCAAGTCTCAGGCGGGAGCCCCCTCCCTATGGGGCCCGCACTTCATGTTCGAATCCGAGCGGGTCATCCGCAACGTGCAACTGTCGTCACTTTTGGGCTCTTGAGACCTGAATATGGAGGAAGTCTCGAGCGGGAGCCTACGGCCCAGCCCGAAGGTTTGTCCCGACGGCTTCGCGATCTAGCCGTCGGCAGCGCGCGCGCGCTGGCCGAGGCGGCGACGGCGCTGAGGAAAATGGATTTGCTTGCCCCGACGAGGGGGAAGGGGAGGTGCACATGGAGAAAAGGCAGGGGGATGAGGAGGGAAGGGGCATGGGGGAGGCCGACGACGAGGAGGAGGTGGCGCGAGAGGAGGAGGAGGAGGAGGAGGAGGAGGAGGAGGAGGAGGAGGAGGAGGAGGAGGAGGAAGGAGAGAGGAGGAGGAAGAGAAATAGAAGGGGGAAGAGAGGGCAGTGCAGGGGGCGAGAGGAGAGGGTGTCCGCCAGGGGGAGGAGGAAAGGGCAAAGGGTAAGCTAAACAGATTCTCATGTGGGGTCCTACCGTCGGAGTAATTGACGCTCCCGAGGCCCGGCGAGGGCCCCGAGAGGCCGAAAACGACGAAAAACCTCCGTCTCGATTTGTTCGAGACGCGCGATGTCTGGGATACCCCAGGCGGTCCCAGGGCAGGTCCCGGGGCAGGTCCTGGGCAGGTCCCGGGCGCCGGTCCCGGGCAGGTCCCGGGCCGGTCCCGGGCGCCAGAATAGCGACGCCAGAATGCCCGGGGGCGGCCCTCGGCGCCCCTCGGAGCGCCCCGGGAGGAGCGCCTCCAGGGACCCCCGAAGAGCCGGGATCCATGGGCGACGGGTTCCACGATGGCTTCCATGGGTGAGGGGCTTCGAGGGAGCCGCAAAATGGTCAGCTGGAGCTCCAGGGGGGCCAAAGTTACTTGACTTTGCTGAGATTGAGAGATTGGGGCGTCGACGCCTCTTCGATCTTTCGACCGCCCAGGTCAGCCCATTCGGCCTCGAAGATTGCTTCACGCCAAAAGGCCCCCAGGGCGGCCACGGGACCGCTGGGACCCTCGGTGGAGGGCCCTTTGGGGCCACGAAACGCGCGAGGGATGTAGCGAAATGCGCCGGGGCGCCAGGCGAACCCTGCCACTGGGGCTCTCGGTGGAGTTCCTAGGGGGAAGCTACGTCTGCAAGGGGTGTGCCAAAGTGGGGCGGGGCACCACGCGAACCCTACCACTGAGGCCTTCGACGAAGCTCGGTTTGGGGCCAAAGACGTGCGAGGGGTGCCGAAGCGGGGTGGGGCACCGTGCGAACCCTGCCACTGCGGCCGTCGCTGGAGCTACCTATGGGGTCACGAAACGTGAGTGGGGTGTACCGAGATGGAAAACGAGAGATGGAGGAAAGAAGCACGAGGGAATAAGGAAGAGAGAAGCGACGAGGGATACGCGCGGCGGCCGTGGGTTCAAAACGAGCACTCAGCACACCGGAGGGCTGCGCAAAAGGAAGAGGAGGAGGAGAGAAAGAAGCGGAGGGAGGAGGGGGAGGAGGAGGAGAGGAGTAAGACGCGCGGCACTGAAAAATCGAGACCTGGACCCGACACACAGGAGGGTTCGGAACGCGTCGGCGTTCGAACACTTTGGGCGTTCTGGCCTTTTCGGGCTCCCAGCAGCGCATTACAGCCCAGGAGGCCTCCAAGATGGCCCCAAGACGGCCCAAAAGGCATCCAAGTAAGCTCCAAGACGGCCCAATGGGCCTCAAGATGGCCCAAGAGACCCCCGAGATGGCCCCAAGTTGGCCTCAACACAACCCACTAGGCAAGAGGGCCCTACAGCGCCCAAATAATACCAAAAGACGGCACCGAGAGGTCCAGTCTGCCTCCGAAAGCTTCACACGGCCCAATAGAGCCTCAGTAGGCTGGAAACTGGAAGATGCGGGTTTCAATATTACTGTTACCGTCGCCGTCGACGCCGTCGCCGAAGCCTTGGCGAATGCACTCGGGCGAGGGCACACGCGCATCTGCGACCTGCTACAGACATAGCGTTTGACTCAAGGCGCCTGGCTGACAGCCGGTGCAAGCTTCGGCGCGGCCTTTAGCGAACAAGAAGGCCACTTGGTGATCACTTCGCCAGGCGGTCAGAACCGTCATCAGACTACAGAGACAGTCCGCTGACACAAATAGCAACGACAGAGACACCAACCCGACATGCAAGACGAAGACATGTCAAAATTACTACTGGGCCGAGAAACAGGACGTGACTCACAATAGCGAAGATGCCACTTTCACGGACTGGAAGCGAGATGCCGGGCGGGGGCCTTGCCCCTGGTTACACTGCGGGCCTCTCCAGCCGAAACATGGCAACAGGAACGCGGGTCGGGAACGGAAGCCCCTTCGCCTAAGGCCCAAGGCCCCCATCGAGATACCCCGCACGAAAAAAGGTAGACAGCCTAAACACGAAGAGCAAGAGGGTACCCCTTGAAGCCAGTGCTGTTCTTGATTTAGCATGAACGGGAACGGGACCGGGACGCCTGTGCGGGCATGTGCCGGGGCCCCTCGAAGGAGAGGCGGGTGAACCCATTGCATCGCATGAAAGACTGAGCGCGCCGGGCGCCTACTCAGGGAGATGTGCGGTTCACGAAAGTATTTCCCAAATGTTCCTCCTATCTTATTGTTGCTGATTGTAGCCACGTGGTGTCCTTGAGGTCGTAATGCCTTCGAGGTGCCTGGCGTCGGTCGTTTTCAGGGTGCCAATGGCGGACAATCCCGCAAATATCATCGTCCCATTTCTTCCACTATCCTCCAGGATGACGCTGTCCGGTCTGGGCGGCGTGTGGGCTGGTGTGACAAAGAAGATCGCGCTGTGGCCATTCGTGCGGTAGTGGTTTCGCAACGCGGGCTGCGCAACTCCATACCATCTTTCGTAGTTTGTGTTTGTCGAGTCGCTCGCTCGCTTGACGTATTCAAACCATGGCTCCAAATTGTCGTTCCCAGGTTGGGCGTCCTTGTTGTCGTGTATGTTGTCGTTCTCTGCGTCGTTGGCTTCGTTGCTTGAGTGGGCGGTCGGCGGGTTGCTGTCTACACTTTCTCCGCCGGTGCTGCCTGCGCCAAAAGGGCTGGTGTCCAAGGTGGCTCTTGCGTGCCAGTCGCACTGGGAATTGGTCTGACGTCGGCGCTTGGTCGTCGAGGGGTACCGATAACCATGCGCGACATGCGCCGTCGTGTGCGTTGTAGCTGCTGTCGCGGAGGCTCAGTCAACGTCCAAGTGATTGCGCGATAGAGAACTGTCGGCGTGGCCGTGCGGCCTAAAAGCCAGAGTCGCTGTTCAGCGGATAATGCTTTCCTGTGACCTATTGTTTGTGATTTGTGAAGGTTGCCCAACTTGCCGTCAGGCGGTTCTGCACCTCTGTGGAAACTGCATCGTCGAAGCTGATGCGCTGACCCCAAATACTTCACTGAACCAGTGCACGGTGAGATCTCGACCTCGAGGCAATCGACTGTCACCTTGCACCTTGCGACGTGTTCTCCCCGTACGTTCAGACAAGCTGGACAAAATCTTCGCTTTGTCGGGATGTAAAGGAAGTCCGTGTGTGTGTGTTGTGCTGCCGTGGCCGTAGCCTTAAGCATCGTGGCGAAGCGAGCGTCCAGCTCACAACTAGAACGTCGTCAGCGAAGCGAAGGTTCGTGAGGCAGCACTCTGGTGAAAATCCAAGTTGGACTCCTTGGGTACGTTGTTGCCACTTGGTGACGAGCGGTCTCATGATGTACTCCAGGAGCGAATTGAAGGGTAGAGAGAGCTGCAGGGTCGCTGACGCGCCTCTCTCTTGATGGGCATCGGGAGGGACTGGCCCCCATGCTCGCTTTGCTGTCTCGTGCCTGTCCGTACATGGAATGAGCCTGAAGAAAAAAATCCTGGGCCCCAGGGCATTCCCACAGGACCACCTCTTCCTCCCGAGTCGTTTTCTGACAGTCCCGGGGCCCGAGGAGGGCCCCGAGAGCCCGAAAGCCGCGAAAAGCCTCAGGACCCGCTCCCCTCAGCACCAGCTTCCCCCATGGCGATCGGCCCTCGTGCCAGCCGCACTCTGGACATGTGCAAAAACGCCCCGCCCCCTTCGGGGAAAGCCTGGCCCCGCTGGCCGACCTGCCTCACGGGCAGAGGACGGTTGCCGTCGCCCTCGGGCTTCGCGGCACCCGTCCACACCTGGAAGGGGGGTGCGCTGGCCGAGCTAACTTACCCTGCCCCAGTCGGGTTTGGGAGCGGTTCCAAACATCACGATTTACTGCGCGTGGACCTGCCCCTGATCATGGACTGGGCTGCTCCACGACTGGGCGATTGCGCCCATGGACTTGGCAGTTTGATGAGTTCCAGCTTGACCGTGCGTGCTTGCCCCCAATTTCAACCTCGACCTCCTCCTCCTTCTCCTCGTCCTCACCATCCTCATCATCCTCGTCATCCACCCTCCCGTCCGCCTCCTCACCCTCCTCCTCCTCCTCCTCCTCCTCCTCCTCACGCTCCTCCTCTTCTTCCTCCTCCTCCTCCTCCTAATCCTCCTTCTCCTACTCCTCCTCCTCCTCCTCCTCCTCCAATCGCTTTTTGGAGCGAAAACACAAACTCTGTAATTTTCAACCGCCGTGAGGGTGCGATGCTCGTGCTCAGGCGGTACTGCTTCGACTATCAAAGTTCGCATAAATCAAGGGTGGGCTGCAATCTTCCTATGCGACCCGTCCCCGCAGTTGAACCACGAGCACGAGCGATCCCAGCCGCTTGCCCAAAGAACGAGGAGGAGCGGGCGGACGACGAGGTGTAACAGACCTCTTCCCCCGCGCGATGTGGCAGGACGATCCTGCACGATGCCGATGTGCCCCAGGCTATCTAGCAGCCTCTGGGAGATGTTCTGCATCCTCGCTGGCCCAGGAAGGAGCGGCAACTGGACGCACAGGATGCACTCAACAAAGAGCGAGGGATGGGAAGGATGTTCGAAGAAAATCAGGGCAGGCTTGCGGCGGAAAATGTTGGACAGAGCTTCAACCATGCGCATTCGTGACACTCATGGGCTCGGACATCGATCACCTCCTCCTCGTCTGATTATCCTTCCTGATCATTGAAACTAGCAACCTTTTATCGATAGCTTGACACCAGGAAGACTGTTGAATACTATCCTTGCAAGTCCACCTGCTACCTTGGGGATGCAAGGCGGTCAGACTGTATGATAGACTGCTGTGACTTTCTGATGTCTTCTGTCGGATATGGTTATACTGGCGTGTCTCTCGTTTCCTGTCCCTTGCCTCTACTGTCCTGTTTCATTCCTGATGTCTACAGTGGGCCTGCGCCGAACAAAAAAAGCCAGCTGGGGGGGAGGGTGCGGCAGCAGCCAGCCCGACCTAGGTCGCCCCAAGACTACCATGAGGACTTCGGCCTAAGGGGTCCAAGAGGTCTCCAAGACCGCTGAGGAGGCCCAAAGGAGGGCCCCGAGAGCTAAAGACGGCGGCATCAAGACGGTCCAAGAAAGAGTGCCACAGAAAGCGATTTACACACAACACACTAGGTTTCGACAGTGATCTGACCTGGTAATGCGCGCCCCCGACCATTGCACTTCAGTGTCCTAAGTCGTGCAGCGTTGACTGGCCCGCTACTGACCACAGCCTGGGCCAAAATAGGCAGTTGCGTAATAGATATCCCCGCGCCGCGCGCTGGAGCCTTGGTGAATGGCGAACACGCCACTGGAGGATAACTACCGAAGATCTCAGGAGCTTGCTGAATCGACTCGCTCCTCCTCCTCTTTCTCCAACTCCTCCTCCTCCGCCTCCTCCTCCCAATTACCACCCCTACTCAAGCTCCTCCTCCTCTTCCTCCTCCTCCTCCTCATCCTCATCCTCATCCTCACCCTCACCCTCGCCCTCATCCCCATCCTTACCCTCATCATCATCATCATCATCATCATCATCATCATCATCATCAGCAACATCATCATCATCATCATCATCATCATCATCATCATCATCATCATCATCATCATCATCATCATCATCATCATCATCATCATCATCATCATCATCATCATCATCATCATCATCATCATCATCATCATCATCATCATCATCATCATCATCATCATCATCATCATCATCATCATCATCATCATCATCATCATCATCATCATCATTATTATCATCGTCATCAGCACATCATCAACACCATCAGCATCATCATCATCGTCATCATCAGCAGCATCATCAGCAGCAACATCAGCATAATGATCAGCATCAGCAGCAGCATCATCATAACCATCATAACATAATCCGTATCAGCATCATCGTCCTTACCATCCTCATCAACAGCATCATCAGCATCATCATGTTCATCATTACCACCACCAGCATCATCGTCACAACCACCATCATCGGTATCAACAGTCTCACCATCACCACTACCACCATGATCAGCATCGTCAACATCATCATCATCGTAAGCAGCATCATCAGAATCCTAATCGGTATGATCATCATCAGCAGCAGCAACAGCAACCTTGAATTCAGCATCAAACAGTCGTCATCATCGCAATCTGACTCATCATCATCGTCACCATCCTCTCGTAACCACCATCACCATAATCAGAATCATCAGCATCATCAGCATCATCCTCGTCGTCGTCGGCATCATCATCATCACCATCATCATCATCATCAGCAGCAGCAGCAGCACCATCATCAAAACCATCATCATCATCAACCTATTCTTCCCCTCCGCGTCCTCGCCCTTCTGCTAACACTTAACCGCCCACGCGGGCGCGTCCTGTGCTGCAATTCCGATTCCAAGGATTCAGCTACGCCGACACCAATTCTGGACCAGCCGTGGGTAGATGTGCCCATCTGCGCGGAAAGGAGGACAGAGCGAGAAACAAAGAGATGCAGACAGAGAGGAAGGAGACAGAGCGAGACAGAGCGAGACAACACATGTATATCAAGAGTGACAGAGATAAGCAAGAAGATTTAAGAGAGAGAGAGAGAGGGAGAGACAGAGAGAGAGAGAGAAAAACAAAAAAAACAAAAAAAACGAGAGGTAGAGGCCCATGGAGTCACGAAAAGCAGGTGCAGAAAACCAAAACGTTCCACAAGGCAGCGGATACGGGGAATATGTTGCGGCCGCTACACCGCAGCCCAAAGGCAGCGCGCAGAATCGGAACAGCAATGGGCATCAAAAGGCTGAGCGCTGAGCAGCAACACTCCGCCTGAACAGACTACGGAATCAGCGAGGAGGATGTGATCAAAGAAAGGATGAGACACTGAGGGAGGACGAGCAAAAGAACGAGGAGCAAGAGAGATCTGCCGACTCCATCAACGTTTCCCCTCCCACAGAGTCCACAATCGACTAAACACACACCCAGGGCCTCCAGAGCCTCCCAGTCCAGCCTCTGTCGCCTCCAAGATGCCCAAGATGCTTTCCAAGACGGCGCAAGAAGGGTACCAACACGCCCAGATGGCCTCAAAAGCACTCAAGATGGCCTTAAGACGACCCAAGACGCCAGAAGAAGAGGGCCCCCATATGACCCCCATCATGACTTCAAGAAGCAAGAATCATTGATTTCAGTTAGAGAGTTGAATCATTCTCGCGTTCTCGCATTGTCGGGCGCCTGCAAACCCAAATCAGCGCAAGAGGCCCCCCAGACTTGCGCAAGACGGTCCAAGCGGACCCCCATAGGGCCTGAAGACGGCCCAAGAGTCTTCCGGGAAGGCAAAAAAAAAACTCTAGAGGCCTAAGAGAGGCCCAAGAGGAGGAACCCACAAGGGCCACGGAAGCCCTCCCCCACCAGATGGTCCCCAAGATCTCCAACATGACCCCGAGAGGTCCCCAAGAAACCCCAGAGGGCCCAAAAAAAACCCGGGAGCCTTGAAAAACTCCACGAGGCCGCCCCCTAGGCCTCCAAGAGGCCCTCCCAGAAGCCCCGCAGACACGGAGGACGAGGAGGACGAATCAGTGACAACTACACGCAGTCAGCAAAATGGGAAGTGGCAAACAACACGTTTTTTTATCTGCAGGGCGAGAGCGAGCCTCTTCCGCTAAAATAGTGGCAAACAACACACGCGCACACACACACAGGAAATCGGAAGCCGCACGTCCTCTTCTTGGGTTCTGCGAAATGTGTTAAGCCTCTTGAGTAGTATGAGGGGGGGCTAGTGAATCCAGAAGAACGGTGGTAAAGATTGCAAGACAACGTTGTGAAGAGGGTGAGAGTGGCGACTGCCATAAGAGCCGTGAAAACAAGCAGACAACAAAAGACACTCGGAGAGAATCGGCCCCATGACGGGTAGCGACGGCAGTGGCTTGGCAGTAGGTAGTGGCGCGGAGCAGCCTGAATCAGCACTTGTTTCGAAGTCCGCTGATTCAATATACTCAACGTCACGTGATACTTCTCCCTTCTCCCCGCCTCGTCCCCTCAATTTTCAGCCCGTTCTTCCTCTTCAATATAATCATTGCCGTCGCCGTTCTCACCCAGATCCTTGAGATACGTGCCCCTGATCCAAATGAACAGTAGTGCGCCTCACGCGAGACCACAGCCTGGACGCCCAGCTGCGCTGCCCGATCCAAGTACACTGCCCACTGCCAGCCAGAATGCCGGGACGCGGTTGAAACTTCAAACCCTGTCGGCAAGATCGAGTGGGACTGGCTTTAGCGTTAAAGCTCACTTGGGCCATGACCCCTGCGATGCGATGCAACCACCGATACGGACAGCGTCTGCGCCCACCTGAGACCAGGTGGGCGAGGCCGTGGCCTCGGGAATCTTGCCTGTCTGGATACATGCTATGCGAAACATATAAAACAAATCCCGCCAGCCCTCTGGGCGCAGGTGGTCTAACGATTTTTTCTTCTTCCAAAAGCCCTTCTTCCCCTTCGGGGAAGGGTTTATCACTGTTCCCTATTAATAGACACCCCCTCCCCCAGGCGACTGGAAGCCAACCAGGGACAATGAGGGCCCCCGCACCACCATCCCCTGTCCCAAACAAAAAAAACTCTGCCTCCAAACTCGGAGCATGCGCAGCGAACCCGATGCGGCCACACCCCACAATCCCTGTCACAAACAATACAGAGTACAATTGGCGGCGGCGGCTGCGGCGGTTGCGGCGAGGGCAACGGCTGCGGCGGTGGCGGCGGTGGCGACGGCGGTCGCGGCGGCGGCGGCGGCGGGGGCGGCGGCGGCGGCGGCGGTGGCGGCGGCGGTGGCGGCAGCGGTGGCGGCAGCGGCTGCGGCGGCAGCGGCTGCGGCGGCGGCGATTCGGCAGCGGGGGCGACGGCGGCGGCGGCGGCGGCGGCGGGCGGCGCGGCGGCGGCGGCGACGGCGGACGGCGGGCGGCGGGCGGCGGCGGCGGCGGCGACAGCGGCGGCGGCGGCGGCGCCGCCGCGGCGGCGGCTGGCGGCGGTGGCGGCGGAGGCGGCGGCGGCGGCGGCGGATTCGCCCCCAGTAGCTGCCCATCCAAAGACGACTGCTGAATATGCTGCGGCTCGGGTCAAGCTCGGGTGCTACGTATGTGTTGCGAGGGCGGGTGGGAGTGAGCGAGACGGCTTGCGGGCGGGGAGGGAGTCTTCACCCCTCCCCCTAACCCCTCCACTGGACCTGGACGGGAGGGGCCGCGATCCGTTGGAGCGTCCAAGATTGGCCACTGGGAGGACCAATTCCTGATACCCCTCACGAGGATCGTGGCCGCCGAGGGGGGGGGCGTCGATTGGGACCCTCCCTCCTTTGATCGATAGCCTCGAAGACGGCCCCGAGAGGCGCTCAAGGGCTCCCAAGAGAGCCCCAAGAAAGCCACAACAGGGCTCCAAGAGGGTCCCAAGAGGCCTTCCAGAGGCACCCGAGAGGCCCCCAAGAGGCCCCAGAGCGGCCTCAGAGAGCCCAAGATGACCTCCAAGATGATTCGGATAGCCCAAGCTGGCTCAGAATGGTTCCGAAGATGCTCCAAACGGCCCCAAAACCGCTCCAAGAGCGCCTAAGAGAGGTCCAAGAGAGCCCCAAGAAGCGGTTTGCGGGCTCCTGAGGGGGGAACCGAGTTGGAGACCCCCCCTATCCTGCAATCGATGGCATCAAAGAGAATCCCAGGAAGCCTTCCAGGGTTACCACGAGGGTTCCAAAGAGGGCCCCAAAAATTCCCAGAGAGCACCAGCAGCAGCAGCAGCAGCAGCCACAAGAATACCTCTGGATGGTTCCATGAGTCCTCGTCCGCGTCGTCCTCATCCTAGTTGTCGTCCTCCTCGTCCGGGTCCTCATTCGCGTCCTCGTCCTCCTCGTCCTCCTCGTCCTCGTCCTCCTCCTCCTCCTCCTCCTCCTCCTCCTCCTCCTCCTCCTCCTCCTCCTCCTCCTCCTCCTCCCCTCGCCCCCACGCGACACCAAGTGATGGCCCGAAGAGGCCTTCCAAGACCACCCCCTTGCTCGCTTTGCTTCCCTAAATGTGTCTCTTCGTCCCTTTTCCCGTGATCTCGGCAGGACAGGATTTCTGAATGGGCTGGTGGGGATACTTTTTGATAGCACGCGCACCGGAAGACGCCGGGTGCGCCGTCAGAACGAAGCGTCGAAGCAACGGCCTAAATTAGCGCACGGAAGAAGAAGGGCGAAAAGAAAAGAGAAAGACGGCGGGAATCGCGAGGCATGAAGAATTTAGGAGGCGTGGCAGAGGAGAGGAGCCGTGGCCCGCGGACCTCCCTCGTTGAAAGCCTGCGTCGCCAAAATCAGGGTCTGCGCCCTGCTTCCAGCGAGGCGCGGGCATCTTCGCGCTCCCGCGCCGCCCGCCCCCGAGGATCACGACTTCCTGCCGCCGACCGAGAAGCGCGAAGGGCGGCTCTATTCGCTCCCGCGCGGAGGACCCTGGAAAACTGAAGGGGCCCTGGGACACACAAATGAATACACACAAATGACCGGATTCCCTATATTTTGCCATATCTTCTAGGTTTTTGTCTTCCCCCCCCCACTTCCCATATTTTCCCATATTCTCCTGGGAGTCGACGACTAATGGTGTCTGTGTGTTGTTTCCCCTCCTGGAAAACGGTGTCGCCACCTCGCCACCTCCTCCGACTTTCAGAGGAATCAGGAGCGTCCTATGCATAGACTTTCAACGGGCCGCGCGGATTTCTTGGATCTGCGCTGGACCCCGCTCCCTGGCGCGTGGAGCGCGCCAGGGGCGGCGCCGGAGGCGCTGCCTGGGGGCTCCAGCACGGATCCAAGAAATCAGCGCGGAGAGCCGACAGCCTGGTCGTGTCGATGTTTCCTCTTCAACTCCTCCGACTTCCCACCTGATCCATCGCGCCGGCAGTCTTGAAGTTGCCGGTGAGGACACATACGTGGCAGGCGGTGGCACTCAGCACCAGAATCAGAGTGCACCTCGGAGGCCACAGCACAGGGGGGCGGCGAGGGAAGAGTCCAGGAGGGAAAGGAGAGGGCGACGACAGCGACGATAAGTAAGATGGGGGAGGAAAGCAGGGGGGACGACGACAACGACGCCGACGACGACGACGACGAAAAGGACGACGACGACAACGACGACACGTAAGATAAGTAAGATGGGGGAGGACGACGACAACGACGATAAGCAAGATGGAGACACCCAACGCGCGCCGCCTTCCATGGAGGATGGAGGGAAGAGGGGAGAGCACGAGAAGGAGGCCGAGGCATGAGGAAGGAAGGAAGAGGAGACGGAGCAGACTTGAGCGGATCCGCGCAAAAAATCAAACGCTCCCCTCCCATCCCCTTTCCTCCCCAGCACGGCCCTCCTCCGAGCGCCGAAAAAGGCCATGATCCATCATCATTTCCCCGATCACGCTCTTGATCCTGGACCTCCCCCAAGTCATCATGTTCCTACTCGTCCTCGTACTGCTCCTCCTGATCCTCCATGCTCCTCCTGATCCTCCTCCTCCACTTCTTCCTCCTCCCCTAATGTTTTGGCATGCTTCAGGGTCTTCAAACGATTGTCTTCCAACGAGGCAGTTCCCCCAATGGACATTAGCCGTTGTAGGGGCCTGTGAAGAGGAAGCTTGGAGGGTGGGTTTATTCCAACATCGTTGATGATTATTGGGTTTACACTGGTCCTCCTCCCCCTCCTCCTCCTCTTCCTCCTCCTCTTCCTCCTCCTCCTCGTCCTACTTCTCCTCCTCATCCTCCTCCTCCTCCTCCTCGCCCATCCCCCGCAGCCGTTCTGGCTCGAGCGAGACGTGCTTCGGTCGGCCCTGAACAGCAAGCTGCGGCAGGCGCGGGCGCGCAAGGGACCGCCACGTCGTCACCAGGCCACGCATGGGCTGCCGCGCTGCACGCGCGCTGGTAAGCCGGCTGCCGTCGGACCGGCAGGGCACTGCCGTTGGAGCGACCAGCTGCGCGGCCATCTGCCCTGCCGGGGGAGACACCTCGAAGGCGTAGTGGATGGGCCCGCCCAGAGAGGAGCTCGACGAGCTCGCCGAGACGCTGGACGGCGGCGATCGGGCGAAGCGGCGGGGCCCGTCTGGTCAGCGGCTCGTGCCAGCCGCCCCTCGCGCGGTGGCGCTCTCGGTGGCCGGGGTGTTCCGCGCGTGGCCGCGCGATGGCGGTGCACGAGGAGCGGGCGAGCGAGCCGGCGGCCTCCCTGAAAGCGGACAGAGCCGCCCCGATGGAGCAGGAGCGGATCGAGCAGCAGTCACCAGTCACGATCGAGGAGATGAGTGAATCTCTCTGGAGGTAGGAAAGGGGTGTGGCATAAAAGAGTATGGTGCCAATGTTGAGCCTGGCAATGCCATCTATCACAGATAGCATCTCGATTTCCACGATTGGCACCACACCCCTGTATGCCATACCCCTTTCCGACCTCCAGAATCTCGCAGAGGACCGACGGAGCCCCCAGGAGTCGGACCGCTCCGAGGCCGGCCAGGGCACTCGTGCTGACCACGGCGGTGAAGGTGGAGATCACCATGGCGAGCGGCCTCCAGGCTCTGGAGCTCGTCGCGCACATTTTTCGTGTGAAGGGCTTCCAAAAGGTAAAGGCCTTCGCTGAGGCCAGCTTGGTGAAGGTGGAAATCTTCTGGGTCAAGGTTGTCCTGGTGGGTTGTCTGGGTCTCCTGGAATTGCGGGTTGTCGTAAGGGTCCTCCTTGTGCTTCCACACAACAACAAACTGGAATCAGCTCGCGTGCTTGCCGTGCGCATCGCGAGGCAAGTGAAGGCATCGTGAATCAGATCCATAACCTGAAGGTGCCCTGGGACACACAAACAAATAGACACAAATAACAGGATCCCCTGTGTTTTCCCATATTTTCTGGGTCAGCGTCTTCCCCCCCCTACTGCCCATAGTTTCCCATATTTTCTGGGGAATCGACGAGTGATTGTGTCTGTGTGCTTCTGTTCCCTCCTGAAACCCCTATCGAGAGAAATGAAGGCCGCTGCCGAACTATGCAGCGCTGCACGGCCCTTACAGAAGCAGCGACCCAGGAGCGCTGATTCAGCACACTATCCCCAGCTGAGGCGTCCACTGCACGCGACGCAACACCGTGTGAGGCCATCGTCAAACTCGGGAGCGGAGGAAGGGGGATACCAAGGGAAGGGAACCGAAGAGAAGGAACAAGAGGACCAAAAAAAGTAGGCACGAGGCCACGGACGATGGCTTCAAGCATTTTGAGCGCCATGAGGTCCGCAATATGAAGCTGAAGGGGGTGATCTTCCTGGCGAAGCATATCTTCCTGGTGGAGGGTCCCTCCGAGGCGAAAAAGTCTCTGAAGAGCAACCGCACGAAGGCAAGAATCTTCCTGGAGAAGGGCTTCCTGGCGGAGCAGGTTGTCGTGAATGTCTACCTGGTGAACGTGAAAGCAAGCAGATTTGCTGTACAGGCGGAGTTTACAAAAGGTGTTGCAGGTTTTCAGGCGCATCCTCCTGCCGATAGGCTTCTTGGAAGTGGAGATGTCCGTCAGAAGGAACAGCAAATGCATTACCAATGGTGGGAATGCGGTTTCCATGGGGTGTGGCGTCAGAGGTACAAGCATATCCATTACAAAGTGGAGTGTGGGGGGCTTTCGCTTCCTGCGACAGCTTCAGCAACAATGAGGCGCTGGAGACAAGATATCGGATGTACATGGCGGGTGGCAGCGAGGCCAAGACCCAAGACCAGAATGAAGTTGAAAGAGCACAATTTCAATACCGACTTCAACAGGATGAGTTTGCGGGTCGTCACCAGGAACGGACATGGCGTGCGATTGCAGCTCCGACGAGACTGAGAGCTTGCAAAACCGTACTGCCGAGGCTCCAGAGCTGGCAGGCTCCGGTGGGAGCAGAATATCCCAGCTGAGGTGCTGAGGGGCGCCCGCACTTCCTTCGCCTGAGCCACCAGGAGGACTCGCTCGCTTCGACGAAGCGCAACACCATCCAGTCCCTCCTCCCTCTCTTCATCGCCCCGCCGATCGGTCCACCGCGGCCCCCCGCGCGGGGCCCAGGGTGTGCCGCCGACCCGTGGACGCGGCGGTGCGAGAACGCGCCGGGTTAGCGGGGGAGGCAGGGGAGGAGGGAGGCGTGAACAAGGGGAGGAGGGGGGGCAGTGGAATGGAGGAGGGGGGGCAGGTGAAGGATCGGATCGAATCGGAATGAAGGCTCATTTGTCAGCCTATACATCAGCGCGCGCCTGAAACGCATGGTGCGAAACACACGTGCAGCAAAAAGCCTGCGGCCGATCGCCCCTGGCCCAAGCCAGACGCGCGAGGGAAACAGGGAGGGTTGGCTTGGCGGCGCGCAGAGCAGGGGGTAGGGGGAGGGGGGAAGGCTTCTGACAAGAAGGCTGCTGCTTCGAAGGCGCTGGCCCTGCATCTGCCAGACAAGGCCCGCGCCCTCTAAGAAGCAGCCTCCTTCCAAGAAGCCTTCCCCCCTCCCCCCTGTAACCGTTTGCCTCGTGGGGCCGAGAGGGAGGAGGGAGGGGCGAGCAAGGGGGGGAGGAGGCACTGCGAAGCAGGGAGGGGCGCCGGCGGGGAGGACGCGTGGGGGGTGGGGGGGAGAGCGGGGCCGCCCGGCTGGCGGGCGCCGACTGGAGAACTGCATCGCCGTCCAGGGGAAGATCGGCGGCGCGCTGGGGGGGAAGTGAGAAGGAGGGCTCAGGAGGCCCATGGCCTTCTGAGGAGCTTGGCTCAGAAAACCTATCAGAAGGCCAGAAGGCTTCTGAGAAGTCCCGCCGCACTCTGGGAAGGACTCCTCCCTCTCGTTTCCGCCCCTCGCTCGCCGCCGAAAAAGAGGAGGGCAGGATGGAGGGGAGAGGAAAGGAGAGGGGGGGCAGCGGAACCGCCCCTCCCCCTCTTGCGCCCATGCCCCCCTCCGCCCTTGCCCGGCACTCTCCGGAAGGCCCGCCGGCCGGCCCCACGGCGCGCCCCTGGCGCTGCTGAGGGAGGCTCCATGGAAAGTTCCGCTGCTTCAGCTTCTCAAGCTTGCCCGCGTCAGCCATTCATACAGTCTGCTGAACGTTGTACGGTGATCAGATCGGAGCCCTGGAGGTGGGCGCCAACACCAGTATCGGCGGCCGCCTCCACCGAGGGAAGGCTGGCCCCTGAACTCGGTGGTGATGGTTCAGCAGGCTTCCCACGTGGCCCAAAGACCACCTCCTCCTCCTCCTCCTCCTCCTCCTCCTCCTCCTCCTCCTCCTCCTCCTCCTCCTCCTCCTCTTCACCAGAACCCAGTTCGATGCAATCATTCCCTGGTCAAGGCGGCCTCGACGAGAGCTGACACGAGGGAAAGAGGTCTTGGAGGACACGTGTCCTGGTCCCCAGGGCCTTCCCACGCGCCAGCTTGTCATGCCGAAGCGTTGCACGACAGCCTCGGGGCTGGAAAGCGCCCCATGAGCACGAACACAAACTTCGAAGACGCTCCAGGGCCTCTCTCCTCCAGAACCCCCCATCCTTTGTGCCGGACTAGTTTTTCGGGCACCCGCTGAGATGGATTCGGGGTCCTGGTGCGTGGGCGCCAGATCCAAGGATCGGAGAACGTAACTTGGCGGCGCGCACAAGGGGGTGGGGGAGGAGGGAGGGCTTCTTAGAAGGAGGCTGCATCTTAGAAGGCGCTGGCCTTACATCTATAGAGAAAGCCCGCGCATTCTAAGAAGCAGGAGTACTTCTAAGAAGCCCTCCCCCCTCCCCCCGCCCCCCTCTGCGCGTGGCTGCGTAATCCCCCGAAACATGTCGCCAATGCCTCCCGCCTTGGAGACTGAGCGCGCCGATCTGACATAAAACCGGAACCCGCCGCCACTCCACGCGACGTCATCCACGCTTGTGCTTCCTCGAGGTTCGGTGGCTACCGTCAGCGGCGAGCCCAGGGGGAACTTGAGAAGGAGACAGTCTTCTCAGAAGGCTGGAAAGTCCCCCGGCCTTCTGACACAAGTTTGCTAAGCCTTCCCCGAAGACGCAGAAAACCTCTCAGAAGGCGAAGGCCTTCTGAGAACCCCAGCCGCCCTCTGACAAGGCCTGTCCCTTCTCACTTTCCCCCCTCGCTCGCCGCCGATACCGTCCAGGCCTCCGAAGTATGAGAATCTGAGCGCCCTCGGGGGAGAAGGGCTGCCCCGCCCCGCCGGGCGGAGCTGGAGCGCGCGGGCAAGCGGCAAAGGCGGCCGGGCGCCGAACCTGCGTCCCCCCGGCCCAAAGCAGAGCACCCCTCAAACCCCATCCCCATCGTTCCTCCTCCTCCGCCTCCTCCTCATCCTCCTCCTCCTCTTCCTCTTCCTCCTCCTCCTCCTCCTCCTCCTCCTCCTCCTCCTTATCATCATCATCATCATCATCATCATCATCATCATCATCATCATCATCATCATCATCATCATCATCATCATCATCATCATCATCATCATCTCATCCTCATCCTCATCCTCATCCTCATCCTCATCATTATCATCATCATCATCATCATCATCATCATCATCATCATCATCATCATCATCATCATCATCATCATCACAACCACCACCATCACCACTACGACCACACCCTCATCCTCATCCTCATCACTATGATCATCCCTGTCCTCCTCCTCCTCCTGCTCTTCCTTCTTCTCCTCCTCCTCTTGCTTCCTTCCTTCCTTCCTTCTTCCTTCCTTCCTTCCTTCCTTCCTTCCTCCCTTCCTTCCTCCCTTCTCCTCCACCCCCACACCACCACAACCACCACCACCCACCATCACCCAACACCACCACAGTTACCACCACCGCCGCCATCACATCATCATCATCATCATCATCATCATCATCATCATCATCATCATCATCATCATCATCATCATCATCAGCATCAACATCATCATCATCATCAGCAGCATCATCGTCATCAGCAGCATCATCATCACCACCACCACCACCCTCATCATCGTCATCATCGTCAGCATCAGCATCAGCATCATCAACAGCATCGTCATCGTCGTCGCCATCACCAACACCATCACAGGTATAAGCATCAGCAGCACCGTCACCATCATCATCATCGTCATTATCATCATCAGCATCATCAGCATCATCAGCATCGTCGTTATCGTCATCGTCATCGTCATCGTCATCGTCATCGTCATCGTCATCATCAGCATCGTCATCTGCGTCGTCATCAGTATGGTAACAATAGTCCTAACCATCATCATCGTCATAAACACCACCACCACCAGCACCACCATCATCAGCATCGTCATCATTATCATCAGCAGCAGCATCATCATTATCATCAGCATCAGTACAAAGTAGCATCGTCAGTGTCATCGGCATTATCATGATCATCACCGCCACCATCCTCATCCTCATCATCATCATCAACAACAGCATCATCATCATCATCAGCAGCATCATCATCGTCATCATCATGATCATCATCATCATCATCACCATCATCATCACCATTATCAGTATCATCGTCATCGTCATCGTCATAAGCATCAACATCAGCATCATCATTAGTATCATTCTCAGCATCATCAGCATCATCATCATGGTCGTCGTCACCAGCATCAGCATCAGCATCATCATCGTCGTCATCATCATTATCGTCATCATCATCAGCATCATAACCATCATTTGTCATTTATCATCATCAGCAACATCATCATCATCAGCATCATCATCAGCAGCATCATCATGCATTCCCAAAACCTCGGTTTCCTGTTAATGATCCTACGCATGTTTCCACTCCAGAGCGTAGTGATCCTCCCTCTCTTGCCCGCCCCCCTCTCCGCCTCCTCCCTCCTGGGACGTACGAGAGGCCCCTGCTCACGAAAACAAAACAAAAACGATCGGGACGCACTCAAATCCCCTGAATCCCCCTTATCCTGGGGACACCAAAAGGTGCCGATACCGTAGTCCGCGGACCTGTCACGAAGTGCGTTGTGACCAAAAATTCGAGGCGAATCCAGCGGTGGCAACCGGGGCCTCCCAGGGGACCCACAAAGCCGAAAACGGGCAAACGGCAGCGGTATCCGTACCTTTGCCTTCTCTGGGTACTCGTGCCCCTTACCTCTCTCAGGACAATGGGGCGCGGCGCGCAGGGACTGGCGCGGAGAAGGGCGACGCGCGAGGGGGGAAACTGGGCGCGGAGAGGGGCAGGCTGCCAAGGTCGGCCCCGCGCCCCCAGGGGGCGGCGCCAGCATTGCACCCGCACCGATTGGGCAACAATCTTCGCGCTTCGCGCTCCGCGAAGCGCGAAGCGCGATCATCTTCGCGTTTTCGAGCCGCCCCCCTCCCCCCTGAGCAGGATGAGAGATTTGCGCTTCGCTCTGAACTCGGCCAGACCGCGAGGCGCGAAGCGAGACCAGATTCGCACCCTCGTGGCGGCCCGAACTGGGCCGGCCCTGGAACCCAAGGAGGGCGTGTGGATTCACGGCGGGCCCGACTGGGATGAGCGCAGGTGTATGAATGGCGTCTTCTTGGCAAGGAAGTGGCGCGAGAAACGCATCCGTATGAGAAATTCAAAGGTTTCGTGGAAGGCAGCGCCACCCCCTTGTGCGCGCGGCAACACAAGGGGGCGCGGGAAGTGCCTCCGATCGGAAGGTTGAGACCATACCAAGGGGCCAGAAATGGACGGGCGAAATGTGAAGGGCGAGAGCAGAAAGGGCGATAACAAAAGACAGGCTGAGGGGGAGGGAGCATGGAGGAGTTCGACGTGGGCATGTGGCCGAGTTTATTAACTGCCAGCGACCACGCGAATCTCGAGGAGACCACAGCACGAGCGGTGCCAAAGAAACAAAAAGAATGCTGACCACGAGACTCCAGCGGGAGGAAGCGATTCCCAGCGGGCGGGCTGCGGAGACACCGAGTACGGAAGGAGACGAAGAAAGCGAGCGAAGGCGGGAATTCCAAAGAAGAGCGCTCCAGGTCGCGAAGAATTGGCTCACTGGCGTTGCGCCACGGGGGGAGAGTGAAGGGCGAGATGCAAGCACTGCTCCGAAGACTCATGGTGTCAGCTGGGGAACATCCCGAAATCTACCCTATTCATTGTGCTGCGCCATAGACGCCATGTTTTAACATAGGTGGCTTCATTAGGACCCCCCGCTGGAAAGGGGGGCACGTAGCCACAGAAATTGCCCGTTCAACGGGGACAACAAGGGCAGCGAGGCCCAAAGGAATAAAACCAGCATAGCGGCGCGACTGCGAGCACCGTCGGGGCTCAAGCCAATGGTACAGTCCGCTGCAGGGCTACATGATAACAGAGACGCAACGCAGCTGGCAAAGAAGGCAAAACACTGAGACAAATCACGCCCCGTGTTGCGGAGACGCAAACCAACTCAGCCCCTGGAAGAGCCCTGCGCGGCGACGCAAACGCAGCACACGCCAGAAAAATGCACGCTGCTGACTGCAGCGGGCAATGCCATGAAAACGCGCGCAGTAACCCGGGCCCATGCCCGATATCCAGGCCGGCCTGAGTCCTAGGACCAAGCCGAGGCCAGCGTCGGAGCCCAAGTCCGAGCACGACCCCTAGCACGAGCCGAAGATAAACCTCGAGCGCGAGCCAAAGCCCGAGTCTGAGGAAGAGCCCAGGTCCGAGCACGAGGCCGAGCCCGAACACGAGCGCAAGCCCGTGCCCGAGCCGGGCCTGGAGCCCCCGCACAAGCGCCCGAGCCTGAGACCGAGCCAAAGCCCGAGCACGCGTCCAGGCCCGCGCCCCAGTCCAATCCCTAGCTCAAGCCCAAGCCCAGGCCCCGGGAATGGCCCGAGACGGAGCCCGAGCACCGAGCCCGAGACCGAACGAGCGCAAGCCCGAATCCGAGCCGTGGCTGGAGCCCCAGCACGAGCGCCCTTGCCAGCAACCGAGACAAAGACCGAGCACACGCCCGAGCCCGCGACCCTGACCGACCCCAAGCTCGAACCCAAGTCGAGGAAGAGACCGAGCCCGAGCCCAAGCACGAGCCCGAGCCCGCGCCCAAAGCCGAGCACGACACGCCTCTCTCGAGTCGATCCTCCCGGATATCCAGCACCGTGAACAAACCTACATCTCGGGCCCTCACCTCATGCAGGAAGCAGCAGACTCGGGATGCGCGGCGGCGGTGGAACCAGTGGAACCGCTGCATACCACGTCGCGCTTCGTACTTGACCATCCTGGAACCAGTAGGGTCTGCGGTAGGGCGCCCAAGTTCACCCCCCGGCCTCCTAGCGCGTCTCCCGCTGAACTCAAGCAAGGTACGCACCGTCGGCACTATCGTAATGGCCTTTTCGGAAATTCCCACTCATCTGCGTCGCGCGACGCAATGCCTCGGCAAATGGCCAGAAAGTTCGGCGACGCCGCCAGCGCCAGGCCTGGCAGGCTCGAGCGAGCATCATCCCTGCACAGACCTCCACTGCTTCATCCCAGGCAGCTACCCCCGCTGTTCCTTCTGCAGCCGGCGGCTCCCCGGCAGCTTCTGGCGGGCCCTTTCCGGGCTGGCCCCCCAGGAGCGGTTCGCCCCAGCCGAGGGCGACCAGCACGAGAACTTTAAGCGTAGACGGCGCACATATCGCCAGCGCGAAGAGCGCGATACAGGGTGAGGGAGAACGGTTTTTGGCCACAAAAAATGCCTGCTGAGAAAGGAACGGCCGCCAAAGTACTTGATTGTTTCCTCCTCCGAATACCTTGCCTGCAAGATGCACATCACTGCCCGATAAGCCGCCATCAGCGGTGGCGCGGGCCTCCTCGACGATTTCCCAACAGCGGGCCCACAACGCGGATCACATGCTCGTAGGACACATCACCACCGATATCAATCATTAATCCTGGCCTCGCCGACGGGACACCAAACATCGGGGTCGAAGTGCGATGGCATGGGCAATTCTCTGCACGCCCGAGCCGGCCATGAATCACCCGCCGCCAGCGCGCCCATCCACGCCACCGCCGGCGACGCACTTGAGGTTGGCGGCTTTCAACGGTGCCAGAGGATACCTTAGTGATACTCCCGCAGCGACCCCCAGCGCGCAGATCGCCTCGACCAGTCGGGCAGCGGCGCAGCTTCCAGCTCAAGCCGCGAATCAGGGCGACGCCGCCGCCTCTCGAGCAGGAGGGAAAAGAAGACGAGCTGCAGTAGAACACTGACAGGAAGGAAGCAGAACCGCCATCTTTCCGCAGAACGAAGACGCCTCCAAGAAGCAAGC